CACACTACAAAACATTATATTTTCAAATTGAAGGTTCCTACCAAACATGTCACTTCATCGAATGCCCAAAATATTCCTCTTTATACTGGATACATACATGTAGTACCTAGTACTTCACTCATTCTTCATATTAAGCCATATAGTCCATGGTATGAAATCTCTAGGACGTCTAATAAAGGAGTTGGTAGCACACTATAGCGCAGCGATATTTGACCTTACATTAACATACCTACATATGTCCCCTAATAATTTCTATTATAACCGTTCAATATACTTCCGGCTTTTAGGCTGAATTATGCCTGCCATTAACAGAGGTCAAAAAATCACCAAAAAATAAAATCCCAATTTTTCACAATTTGGAGTACACAATGCAACAGAAAATAATAAAAAAAAAGATTTTAAATATATGATTAATGTTTCTAAGCTATAAGTTTGAAGTTATTTTTCTTATCAATACCAAAAATATGTAATCAGTGTACCGACGTTTTGTATTGTTTCTGATGTATTAATAAGATAAATGCTACAAATGAATCACTTTAATATTGGAATGACAAATGTTTACATTATGCTAGTTTTTTTTACAAAGGGGTCTCAATACGTTTTGAGATATGAACCTTTATTCAGCGGTGAAAATTATCAATATAGGCGGGCCTATTGCTCTTCCTTGACTAATTGGGACTACAGCTAAAATTCTTTTTCCCGTAGTTAGATATAGCTCAGTTGCTTATACAACAACCATCAAGACTTGATCGAATTCATGAATATTTGAGAAAAATCGTAATCATTATCTTCCTAAAATCTGATTGTATCCAGCGGTAAGGTCAAAAAACAAACAGCCATCAGAAAACTTGATGATAGCCACAAGTAACGTCGAGGAAGAATTTCAGGGCGTTCGATTGTATATGACTCTAATTGATTATTAGACATGCCCTTGGAATATATGAACATTCAAATACCTCTGTAACATTTATTTAGATATAAATCTTACCTATTTGTTATTGTATTATGTTTTGTAAAACATAAACAATAATTTGTTGTTAGACCCCTTGCGATTATAAGGAAAAATTCTGGTAATAAAATGTTTTAAATGGTAAGAAAACTAATATGTTCCCAATCATAAATTACCTAAATATTCCACATAATTTTGTTGAATCGGCTTGGCTCATATTTGAAAAATCAAACAAAATCTGAAAAACACACTTGCATAATTACACTAATTAAACATCGACATCTACGGTAAAATTAGATAGAATATTTTTAAATTATGATAATTTATTTTTGTTCGTATGCTAAGAATAACGGTCTGTGTCTTATAAAATGTATAAAAGTTCGAATCAAAATATTTACGTTTTTTGACCCCTTGTGATGAAAGACATTTTTCGACCCGAAAGCCGGAAGTTTTTTCAGCAAATGGTATTTTAAAAGAATCAAGACATGTACACCTTCATAAATATTGCTTCAAATGTTGCTGCGCTAGAGTGTGCTACGGATCCTTCATATTCGGAAGTCATACCATGGACTAATACAATTACAAGGGAATTTAGTGCGCAGGGCACTCTGGGCAGCTGCAGTGAGCTCTGTCATACAAGCATACCGAACACCTCTCAGTTCATCTTTCATCCTATTGAACACCCCAAGTCCAATACAGCCTCATTGGTGAGTATGCACCCTGGTCTAAAACTACCATCTGTAGGGTATCCCGGATAGAATCTTGAACCATATTTGCTGGATGGCATGGAACATTGTCTTGGTGAAATAATTTGAAGAAGGGGGTAATTTTAGGCCGTTTCTTTTGTAGAGCTCCCTCCGACCGGAACTCGCTTAAGGTGGCGTTAAAGAAATAAACTATGAAGATATTACATTACAAAATGTAATTGTGATGTTATACAACATGTTAGTTGCTACCATTGCAACAATAGCTGTTTTATTCAAAATGAAAGAAAAATGTGCTTGCAATTATAACTTTCTCCAAACTTTAGACTTGGGATTCACAAACAGAAAAATATTGGCCCGCGTGACCAAAACACAGGTTACCATAGCAACCATAACTTTTGACCAATCAAAATAAAGTAATGTATTCTTTGATTTTTAATGAGAATACATTTTTTCTATGTTGTGTGAAAGTTTCAAGGAAAAATATTGAAAATAAAAAAATGAGAATGTTTTTGCATGAACTTATTGAACGACCTGGTATATGGGACAATTAATGATAATTTATATTTTAAAAATCTGTTGTTGTATTAAAGATTGCGACATATATGTTGATTTCATGGACATGTAATTAATATGTTATTTTTTGTTGACCAGACTTTAAGAAATCATTACCACAAGGTACCTGTTTTTAATACTGCTTATCTTTTTAAAAAATATCACTTTAATGATGGATTTTTTGACAATTTAGAAAAAAAAATTTCGGCAAATATAAACTCGGATTTCTTAACTTAAAATGTATCGGTTGCGTTGATATTTTGAGCATGTTAATAAAATGTATGTGCTACCAACTCTTGAAAGCGGGATGTTTGATATATCTTAGTCACATAAATAAGTATGTTTTACTATATGTATACGATTTGTCAAATATCTGTATCCTCCAACACATCGGTCATATTAATATGCACTATTGATGCATTATTTGGTGTAAAGCTATGCCAGAAAGTGCATTTGAATAACATATCTTCGATTGCAGAGAATGGAGATATATGATTGAGTGTAGGTATTTCTGTCGTGAATTCAAGTTGTCTAGATTGAGCTGTCCAATATTTTGTATTCTCCAAACATCAAAATATCATGTTTGGGAAAAAATATTTTTAGATTTTTATTTTGAGAAATGAAAGTACTTAATAAAAGTGTTTAGATCATCACTATTTAATTTTTTAATTATTTGAATTATCTTTGTAAAACTTTATTAAGCATGTGTTGGAGGATACAAAATGACTCGAAATATAAACGTACAATCAAAAGTTAGTTGTATTCGTATTTTTATGTTTATATTTAAATGACAGCAAAGAATGAATCATTGTCAAACCAAGAAACAATATAGTTCACTCTCAGTTTCACATTATGATCGTGTTATAACTTTGTGGGAATAGCGATGCATGTAACCTTAACATACCTAGTCAACATGTTATGCTTTCTTTTTATTTCCATGACCGACACATAACCATACAACTTTGAATGATGTTTCTCATTCCCTCATTGCCCACGCTGCGTGTTTTTTTCATGATATTATATTTTGAATGCCGTTTGTCGTTCCCTATGATGAATGTTTGGCCTTTACCCGAAATGATAAATGTTGCTTGCACATCTTAGTGATTGTGAGTGCCAGAATACTTTTATATCAATTCCAATGAAAATGATTGCATCCATTGCAATCTTTAATACTTCACATGCAATATGAGCAACATGCCCTTAGCCAGGTTTTAGTAAGGGGAGGGGCTCGAACCCATCCCCCGCCCTGACATCAAGAATTTTCCATGTTAAACCAACACCTGGGGCGACCTTGAAAATTCAGAAAATAAGGCATTAACATGACAAAATGTCTCAACGTAGTTCCTCACAATATTATCAGTTCAAGCTTAAGTCGGATCTGAACTTCTGAGAACTTGTAGATGATTTTAAAAATAAAAAATTGTCAATTAAAAATACCTTTCAAAGGTCAAATATTTTGAGAATGTCATTGAAGGTCAAATCTATATTCAGATTTGAAATTTTGAGAACTTCTACATGATTTTGAAAAAAGAATTGGTCAATTTAAAGCAAGTTGAAAAAATACCTTTTTGACCTTTCTTTCCATGAAAAGGTCAATGAAAGTCGAATCTCAAATCGAAAGTCAGATTTGAACTTCTGAAAACTTGTAGATTATTTGGAAAAATACTTAGTCAGTCTAAACTCTAAACAGTATTTGTTAAGTTATTGGAAGTTTTAAGAATTGTTACAGACGCCGACCGACGATCACCAACTGCCAACTGCCGTCACAAAGAAACGGAGACCAAAACAATATGTCACCACTTATGTGGGTTGCATAAAATTGTTGAGTCCCAAATTTTTAAAATAATGCCCAAAATTCAAAACAATGCCCTATAATTCCAGTTTTCTATCTAAATTGTCCAATTTTTGTGCATAAGAGCGGATTTTGGGCCGAAACATTAACAATAGAAAGAATATCGTTCAAGATCGCACAAGCCCCCCCCCCCCATACACACTTGCTACTAACTAAAAGCTCTCCTTATCAATCATTCTCCTATTAATAAGGCTACGGACCTGAGTAATATAAAGAAAGACTTCAGACAAAAGTGTGCGTGCGTTTTATTTGGAAAAAGAAGTAACCCCAGTAACCTAAAGTCATGATGGTCATTTCGAAAAAGCTCTGTGAGATTAGACGTAATCAAAAGCTACGAAAACAAATTTAGTCTCCTATTAAAAAGCTTTATTCTTCACTAAATTGGTAAGATTCTAGGTTTGCTCAGTATCATATTTCTCCTACTAACTAGAATGACCAGAATAGTGGAACTAATTCTAAATTATTTTGCTCGTACAGTACTAGGTTTTTATTTTATGAAGCAAAACGTAACGGTTAAAAATAGAAAATGGAATTCCATCGCTTCACAAAAACGTCGTAGAAACGAACGTTTTGATAATACAAAAACATTATTTCAGGATGTCAAAATCCACCTCATTCTAAAAAATGTGTCTAAATTCCATGATGATTACTTATAGAATAAAAAAAGTTAGAAACTTCTAAAAAGCTCTATTGAACGATTACGAAAATATTATACTTTTTTATTCCTTTTAAAATTGCTCAGGTTAAAAATGCCAATATAGTCCCAATGATGCCACTTACGAATTTTTAAAATATAATGTATTTCCTCTTCAATTCAAGAAAAAACCATCGTCATATGAATATTTTAATTTTCGAATTTTGCGTTCTTTGAAATATCAATTATCGTAAATTGGCCCATATATCACTCACTTCAAATGTATAATTATTTATGTCGATTTTAAACTGTGATCTAGCCCCAATAAATAAATACTATTATGCCAACAAAACAGCACTTCAGTGGACATGTAAATGATACTTCGTTAAATGACTAAAACACTAAGTATTCACGTTCCCATGTTGGGATTTCTGTTACGGAATCCAGAACGGAAAAGAAAGTCGTATAAAAGGCGGTTTGTCTCAAAAAATGACTCTGTTTGTTTAAGAAGTCAGACGTGTGTGAATGTGGTTTGCCAGGATCGACAAATGTCTCACCTGCTATAGATACTCTGTTGTGATAGGTAATATGCATGCAATTTGATTAAGATTTTAAACAATTGTTTAACATTTAAACTAATTTTATTGTATAATTTTATTCTACAATAACTTTAAATAACTCTATTTCATAAGCACCCGGACAGTCTTTTGAAAATAATGTCACAGCTTTGGCTATTTTTACAATTTTACATCACTCATACTTAAAATATTTCTCTAAATGCAAATGACTGGTTATACGTCCAAAGGAGGAACATTTTAAATAATACAATTTTTATTCGAATCACCGTCTGCATTAAAAGTTCTCACTAAAATAATTGAAGAGAACACCTCATTATTTTACCATGATAATATAGCATTAGATATTACGATTGATTATTATTATATGGAAAGTTTACAGTTGTTTCACATCCATAATTGAATTGAAAATATCATCTTATCACATTAACTCGATATTGGCGATCGAAAGTAGGATGAAACAATCTTGGTTTTGCTACCAATGCTGTTGAAGACTTGAGTCTACATGTACACAATTGATTTGGTTTTTTAGTTGACTCAAAATGGCTCTCAATAATCGTGCATTTGATCGTGACTCGTACGTATTACCAGCATATCAAAACGGACGTCCATCATTGGGTCACATAGCGGCCGGAGACAATGGTCCAGATTACTTGCATTTTCCATCTAGATCTTCGACTAACTACCCAAATACTGGTAGGTATCTGACAAACAGCAATGGAGAAGGAGTTCATATCTATGAAGAGATCCCCGCCAATCGGAATCCTGCATTAAATCAGTCCAATGGTCCACCATATCAACAAGTGAAACAAACTTATGGCCAGGTGTCTCAAAAAGGTCCTCCAACATCGTACAACAGCAAACTCGATAGAGATGCTATCGCTGTTAAACTTCCGAGATCGCCATCTAATTCCTCACAGTTTTGTTTTCGCTCAAGAAGCAAAATTATGATTCTTGCGTTGTTATGTCTGGCCATTTTGATTGGAGGTGTTGTCACAGGTTTGTTTGTGTCTGGCGTTTTGGGCCACTCATCGCAAGAGGGGAATCCAAAAGATGAAGGACCTTCCACACCAATGGGATACTCCCCAACGAAAGTAAAATCTACTACAATTGGGTATTTTTCCACAAGTCGACCTTCTGCCACAACTGACGCATCTGCAGTAGAAGAACCGTCGACGACAATCGGGTATTCCTCGACAATAGGAAAATCCGCCACGGGCAGACAGTCTACTGCAATTGGATCTTCTTCCACTAATGGACCCTCCGAAGCTATAACCGAAGCTTTCACAACTATTGACCGATCTCCATCAAAAGAACCACAAATGACGACGTTGGGCCATTCAACAACAGATGTACAGTCTACAGAAGCTGGACCACCTACAACGATAGAATCTTCCTCCGCAGTTCCCAGCTCAAAATCGGAGATCTCGTTTTCAACTTCACCCTCCTCTGTATCAGCTTTGATAACAACAACATCATCGACAATTGATCATGATTCTACAACAGTGCCCCAACCAGCTTTGGGTAAGAACTGTACTATTATTACCTTTTTCAACATATGCACATACGTGTTGAAATTAAAGGTCTTGCACAAATATCACGCCCGTTGATCGGAAGAAATGAATGGAGGGGGAGTAGCTAATTTTTGGTAGACAATTCAACAAATCTGGAAGATTTATTTTTTCAAGAGAAAGTTTACGATTGAATTGCTAAATGAATAGGCGCAGTACACTGCAAATGTGTCAGGTCTTCTAGGAATCTTTTTAAACTGATGGACTTTTAAGGTAAAAGATCTATTAAAAAAGGCGCATCGTCACCAACGTGCAAATGTCAATGTTTTTGCTATAAATCAAGCAACAATTGTCTACACGACCTGTAATAAATATATATAAGCGACGTTTTTATCACAAAATTAATGTCATTGCCGTTTTTTTTAAATAATGCATTCATATTGTGTTCATATATACTACCTTGATCATAACTTGCAGTAACTTACGGTATATGGACAAGTTGGTCACCATGGTCTCACTGCTCTAGTACATGCGGAAATGGGGCACAGAACAGGACGAGGGAGTGTAAAAAGTCCTCTCATACAGATTTAGAATGTTCCGGCAGTACAGAAGACACTAGGGAATGCAACTTAGGGAACTGTCCAAGTGAGTAATAAGGCATAATTCCGGTGTATCAAACCCATATGGGCCAACACGAGATACAGAATAGGTATTCAAATGTGGAATGGAGATATTTCTTTTGTTTTCTCAAACGACGATGTACAATCTCGAATTCTTTTCGGGCTACATTGTTTTAAGAACTCTAGTTCGATGTAACAAGTCATATTAGCCCCATGTTATACCCAGCAGTAGACATAGAAGGACCACATTCATAGTAAAATGAAGTTTATATCTAAGGGGTTCATCGAACACCATTACTTAGAGCTGACACTATCCAGATATTTTCAAAAACATGTGGTCATCCATCTAGCTGTTGGTTTTATCCTTTAAACTCTTGAATGTGTTAATTTTGAACTTTCTTTTTGTATTCCTAGATTGTTCAATGGAATGTAGTGAAGGCTTAATCCAGAATGATTGTCTGGCCTGCCATTGCGCATTCAATCAACCCAAATCATTCCGCATTTACAACTCCAAAATGACTCCGCTTGAGGAGGCCACTGTCACAAGGCTGGAAGTAGGGTATGCTATAATCGCTACAACTGGAAAGAATGGGAGTGTGACAGTAGAAAACACTTGTATTGGTGACTTGTATGTTATCAGGAAGGAACATTATGTGGATAGCATGGTTGAAATTACATCTGAAATGACTTATCAAGTCATTATGCCAGCGATTGGTAGGAACCTTTTAATGAATTGATTCAAAGAGAATTTAAACGACAAAAACAGCATACTCATTACTAAAATTAAAAAAAAATGTTCAGAGGTTTGAACATGTTTGAATTTTCTCTCAGACATTTTTTCTAAAACAAAAGAGGACGTGTTATTTTATCTCTACAAATACAAATAAGGTGAGCTTTGTGGATGGTGTGGTTTAGTCATAGTGGTCTATAACTTACGAATCTTAGATTTCATAAAACATATATTTCAGGACGTGTAAATATGAGAATTCATCCACAAGATGCAGTAGCTCTAATTGGTGATGATGTAACTCTATCCTGTTTGGCGTCTTCCATAGCATCTGCTCTCACGTATCGATGGTGAGAATATACATTTTACACTTCCCATCCATATGCAACTGATACTTTTTTGATGTTCCAGTTTTTTTATTTCACTGCCACAATTTCATATTTATTTAAAGTTTGGCTACAGCTAAAATGGGAAACGAAGTAAATTATACTGGGAAGAGGGCAGAAAGAGGAAACTAAACAAAGAATAATTAATTAGTATCGGGGTGTAGGATGTGCTGTCTTTGTCCTGCGTGGGAGTAAGAAGGCGTGGGTTCAGGTTGTTCATATTACGTATCGGGAGAAGGTGGGGTTTAGTAGAAGGTTTTTTTGTGTTTTTTTGTGTCTATTTCAGAAAGTATATTATGTGTTTTGCGCTGACTTAATTTTTGGAATAATCTGAATGTCCCTGCGGTAAGCAGTATTGAAATGGAAAGTACCAACGTCTCTTCAAAAAAGTTATGATAAGAAAATACTATTCGTTTTGTTCGGTAGAGAAGTGCAGATCTTTTTGCAGAGTTTTTTGAAGTTCCGTTAACGTAACAAAAGCGAGGTATTAATTAAATTGACATGATTCTATCTTTAGAACTATTTGTAAGCGAACATGCACATTTACGTAATATGTCGTTGGAAATCTGTCGTATACCTACTATAGCGTAATAACTGCTTCATTATTCGTTTGTTACAAATTCCCTTATACGAATATCAATGTAAGATTTACAAATAAAATGCTTAAATTGCAAATACATATATGATGTATCAAATAGACAAATAGATCCTAAAATCGGGTCCATTTTATGTTTGTAAGGACTAGAAACATTTGTATAACTAACAATTTATTATTCCAAACTGAAGATTAGAATTCGTATATTTCTAAAAAGTTTCCTGTTATTTTATCGAAGAAATGTATTTTCACGAATAATAATCTTGCAAATTACCCATAAATTATTGCAGAAAGCAAAGAAATATTCGTACATTAGCGAATAATAAAATGAAAATTTACGAATATAAATGTGAGTTTACGAATACAAATGTGAGTTAACGAATATAAAATGCTAGTATCCAGGCATAGGTCACGTGACACGAGGGTTTTATGTGTGTGTAGGGGAGGGGGTGATGACTTTGACCATGGGTTGACCATGTCCTGATGTCTCGTTGAGAATGATCACGTGATCTCAATGAATCAATGAAAAACGATTATATAAGTGCAATTTACGAATACTTTTACGAAAACATTTTACCTTGTTGCGAAAATAAAGTCGACAATTAAAAAATAAAATGCCAAGGCTAGTACTTATTCATTGATAAATTTGACATTCAGTTCGTAGATATTAAACTAATATATTTGCAGAAAGAATGATAAATGTACAAAATTAACTCAAATTTATTTGTATACGGATATACAATGTGTCACTTACAAATGCTTATAAGGAATTTTGAATGTATTTCAGCAAAAAAACACGTACATATACGTTTTAACAAAACAAATTAGATTCACGAACAGGAAATACAAAAAATGAATGAAAAAACTAAAGTTACGAACATAAATGTGCATTCAACAAATGCAGAAGTTCAATTTACGAATACATATAGTAAAATAATGAAGCAGGTTCTGACATTTGCTAATTAGTTAAGTTATGTTTGTCCCCAAGGTTCAAAGATGAAATACCAATACCAATTACGGATACCAACAACACATTAGTGATCAGAAATGTCGGAGCACAAGATGGCGGGTTATACAATTGTCAAGCGCAGACAGAATCCAGTGTAGCAACTTCAAGATCTGCTCTTGTGAGAGTGAAAGGTACCCGAAATAGTTTCATTCAATTACTCAACGGAAGTTCGAAAAATGCAACTATCATTTTAGATATTATATATAGCATCTTGTACACTCATTTCATTAAAACCAATCTTTCAGAAAATGCGAGTGATTTCTGCGACCATCAGCCAATAGAACATAACAAAGTGCTGCCAAAAGACTGTCCACAGAGTGAATCATTCAATTATAATGTTGGTCAATGCGAAAGTAATGCTTGCGTGGGAGAGAAGACCGAGACGGCAAGTGACTTTTGTTGTGGACCAATAAAACAGGAATCCAGACAGATTTCCTGCAATGGTTACAGTTTGGACATCAGTGTTGTTATTGAGTGTGGGTGTATTGTTTGTAACAAGGTTAACACTACAAATGGTTTAATTACCAAAGTAAGAGAAGTTACATTTTCTGGAAAGGTTTATGATATGTCTAATACTGATAATCTTTTTAGATTTGGTGATGTATATCTTTATGATGAAAAGATGACAACAACAGGATTTACTGGACATTTTAGTTTCAAAATTCCGAGTGGTACAAATCGTGTCGTTTTAACATTTAAGAATGACTTTTATAAACTTTTCATTACAACAACGAAAGTGTTCAACATTCCTTCCGATTTCTCTGGTAACTTTTACAAAGATGTACCATTGATGCCAAAATCCAAAGCTACAGTTTGGCGTTTGTCATCAAAAGACGATAACCTGATTCCATTAGCAAATTCTTCAATGGAAAACCGTCCATTGGCAGATGTTTTTATTCCTGCAAATGCTTTTTACACGGAGAACGGCGACGAATACAATGGGATTGTTGAAGTTGATGCTATATTTGTTGATCCTAGGGATCCTACTAGTTTTGAAAATATGGTTGGGGATTTAACCTACGTTGATAACGATGGGGAAGTTGGTGCTTTACAATCATTTGGGATGTTTTATCTTGATATCAAAGATGACCTTGGAAACCCATTAGGTATACAAAGTGAAGTTGAAATTGCTATCGATCTTGACTTTATAGGGGCACAAAATGGGCACACAAACGTGAAGCTGTGGTCGATGAATCCAATATCTGGGAGATGGGAATTCGAGAGTAATCTAAACAAAGCAACAACTTCTTACAAACATAAGCGACAAGTCTTTCAATCGAGCTATGACACAAACTTTTTCATTGGGAATATTGTGATAAATGATCGCTACTGGATCAATTTTGATAATGATGAATTAAACTACTGCTTTGTGAAGGTGAAGACATTCACTGATGGAACATTTGGTATGGAACTCCCATGGGACGAGAAAACTGAGACTACTGTCATTGCCGTAGACAGTACCAGAACTGACCGATGGGCGCAGGTGACAACTGGAAGCATGTCACTAGACTCTGCGACTGGCGTTGCAACCACTGGGGATTGTATATTAACAATGTGTGGTAGCGACTCATTTTCTGGCTACGTGATGTTGAATCACCCGAAGGGTCCGTTCAAAGCAAAACCTGATATTGGGGGAATCGCTCCTGTGAATGCAATAGTTGATGTTTCCACAACCAGCCTTGGCGATGGACCAAACGAAGAAAACTATGATCGCGTCATCAATACAACAATGAAGCCTCTAACGAATAACTATGGGCCGATATACCATTTCGAAGAGGGTGAATGCTGGGATAAAAATTCAGCTTTTTGCAGGGCTTGTAGAAAAGATAAGTTGAAACAGGGATGTGAACCATGTGGACAAAAATGTCGTTACCCTGCTACAAAGGCTCTTCAATACTGCACTTCGGATATAAATTCTGCGTACTATGTTTTTTATCAGGAGACTGCCCTTTATGAATTCACTGTTTGTGAAAGTTTTCAGCAATGCGATCAAACACCCCATCTAGTCTGGTACCCTCGTAACCATGTTGAAGTATGGGCATGGTACATTAAAATTAAAGTCGAATTTGAATATGAATCTGTTGTGCGAGCTGTCAGTGAAGGAGGTACACACCCAGAGACACTAGGTCACATTTATGGTATTCGTGAAGCAACGACTAGAGATAAAACCACGTGTTTGGAGTTCAAAGGCAGTGGCGACATCTATGTGGTTCCCGCTGGTAGTGATGAAACCCTTGTCAATATCGATGTACAAGGAGCTGACTGCCAGATAAAAAACATATTTTCTGATCTTCAAATCCACCAAGTAAATCCGTCTCCAGGAATATTTGGATTCAAACTTCCAGTTGGCTATACCACTAGTGGGGATTTAACGGGGATTTATTTCAGTACCAGCAGTGGGGAGGTTTCTGACGCTTCAAGAGAAGCGAAGGCTCGTTGTGAGTGCGCAGATATTCTCCACGGCTCCCCTACGTGTAATGACTATAAACCCGATGAAGGCGTTGGACTGACGATTAGCTGTAAAGCTTCTACGGCTCCATAGGACGAGGATGTTCCCTTGAACATATTTATTTATGTTGATGTTATTTTGCTTTTATTTGAGTTTATTGTACACATGCTGACGAGTTAGCTTCAAGCTTTTTATATTAAGTAGTCACTTGTTGAACACAACTATTGTAACTAAACTAAAGTAGAGTCTAAAGATTACTTTAAACTTCGATCTGATGCAGCACATAAAACAATCATGCAAAATAAAGTAATGCATACATTGAGGAATCGATACTTTAATAGCTTTACCTGCATTCTGAAGTGAATATTGTAAATTATTGTTATGAATATTGTAATATCTGTTTAGTTTATGATATGGAACCATTGTAACCATTGTAATGAATTACCTGAAACTTTTAGACATCTGAATTCTAGAAAAATAAATTTAAGTCAGATTTGAACAGTATTATCTGGACTAGTATTAAATTAAACTGTATAACATTTAGCTATATGTGCTTATATATATGTGACTGTGTATTTCTTTCTCCCATTACTGTTCTTCTAACTTTCTATCTTTAATTTATATCTAGTCACCTTGATCAATGCAATTATGTAATATATTAATCATATGTAACTATATACAGCCGTATGGGTGTCAGTTGCCTGTACACTGAAAATTGATATAATTGATGAATAAACAACCATGCAAACTGTAAAAAACTGTATCGTATAAACGAGTTTGCACGCGTAAATTAGTGGGACATACTTGGAATCTTTACAGCAATCTACTTGAATATCGTATTAGAATAAGAATATTATATAATATATAAGTTATAAAGATCGATATAAATGATTTACACATTTGTTTTCTCCTGTTTTCTTCTTTTTGACCACCATGTATGCTCGAAAACAGGGTGGTCAAAAAGAGTAAAACAAATGTGTAAATACCTAGGTGGTTCAAAAAGTTTTGCAGTTGATGCCATAACTTCAAGGAAAATAGGACTTTTGCAATGAACTTGGAGACTTATGAACTGGTTCAGGGAGCACTTGGAAATTATGCCAACACGTATCCAGAAATTGCCTAGATGCTGCAAGACGCGCTTCCTTTTGCTCCCCTGTGAGGAACTTTGGAACCCACTTTGCTGCAACATACCTCTTTTTCAAGATCTTTGTGACAATTGTATGGCAGGACCCCTTAGATATATCCAGTAAATCACTTATTTCCTCTAATGAAATATGTCTGTCCTGCTCTATAATAACTTTTATCTTTTCTGCATTCACCTGGTTGACAGAGGTCCTTGGCCTTCCTTTTCTGGGATTGTCTGAAAGACTGTCACGTTTTCCCTTCTTGAAATCGTTGTACCATCTCATTACAGTTGTGTAATTTTTGGCATCATTTCCAAATGCTCCCTGAACCAGTTCATAAGTCTCTTGCAAAGTCTTGCCATTTAGAACCATGCACTGGATCAGATTTCTATGCTTCCATTTCATCAATTTGGTTGGTGTGGGAACATCTGCCATTTTGAAAATTTTGGAAAAAAAATTCAAAATTTCCTCACTTTTCCATCTCAATTTTTCAACTGGGTTTTGGACAGTATACATCACAAAGGAACTTATCGTGTCACTTGTCTATTGTGATGTCATAGAGACAATTAGAAAAATTCAAGAATTTGAAGAAAAATAGCCACCCAAAGACACTTATACCTGCTAATTGCCACTCTACAAAGAGTTTATTCAAGCAAGAAAACTATTTGGAAAAACCTAACTTCGGGTTGAACATGGTACCCACTAATCATAATTGAGGTCCCAAATTTTAATATATAATGTATAAATGTATAACACATATGTGTACCAAGTTTCATTGTAAGAAAAGTCCTATTTTCCTTGAAGTTATGGCATCAACCAAGGGCGTTACAATACCCGGGAATTTATCGGTTCGTGCAGTACTTGTTTGTGATAGCGCCCTCTGTAGGTCACTGTGCTCAATAGCCTACAGTAATACGGGGTAGGATATCGGGAATTCGGTCAGTTTCCATCCGTCGATTACGCTATGAATTGAAGCAAGTGTGACCACTTTATCCACTTAAACAATTTGATAATTGATTAAATCTTTAAACAAAATCGATAAACACGTTATACACTTCCTATCTACTTAGAAATTAGCATGTATTTATGGATTGTGCTTTCGAACAAGGCTCGACCTAGACCAATAGGGAAATCCTTATGCTAATTAGTATGACGTCATATTTTCCTGGGGAATCCTAGATTTCAAAGCCTCAGTCTGTTCAAGGGTCTGTTATTGTGTCAAATGTAAACGCTCTTTTGCAGACAGAAAATTGACAGCTGATTAGCTTTTAACTTTCAGCTTTGATGTTTAAATATTCTGTATTTCTACCGGACTTCTTGCTGAATATCATATAATGTTATAACTTGCATTGCCTGATTGATCATTCTGAAATTTTGATTGTGATTCATGATTGATTGGCAAGAAAAATAATTCCTATTGTTTTCCAGCGAAGTCAAAATGTTACAGCATGAGTTATAATAGTCCATTTGTCACCCCTATACATACTATAGTGAACCTATGAATTGTTAAAAACACGATGTTTTATGGTTAATTTATAATAACAAGGGTTTTCTGAAGTGATTTAACTGGGTTGGACAAAAAGTTAGTTTGGGGAAAAAAGTATATCGGCTAATTAGGGAGGGGTGCATTGGCTTAACATGGCGTTGACTATTGACTTAGCGTCAGGATACCACCATGTACCTGGTATGTTACTATGGTGATAGATACAAAAATTTTCCCCAACGTTAATTTTTGGGCAACCCAGCTAAATCACTCCAATAAACCCTAATGATAGTATTTGCACAGAAAAACATCGTGTTTTTAAATATTCATACGTTAAGAAAATGACAAATGGACTATAATGTCGAGTTTGCATCATGTTAAATTCTGCTAGTGATTAGAAGTCCATGCACAAGCATACACATAAGAGTCAAACACACCCAGGCTCCAGGCCGTGGATGGAAATATAAAACTATTTAAGGCACAAACTGGTATTTAAAGCGGCTCTAAGGTCTGTGGAGAGAAAAATGGAGAAATTTTACCTTTTCTGAGCTATCGGGGTGAAGTTTGGTCCAACATCTGCTTCCTTATTCCTATTTTATAAAAATGTATGCATATGGCAATATTCATCAACCAGTAGAACTGGCAAATCGATTAGAATCTACAATTCCATAAAAGGAGTCCCACTCATAGATTTTTCAAATTCTTTCCAAGTCGACGTCGAAACACCTAGCGGGCGAAATTGAAACTAATTTTTCTGGCTGCTCGAATCGATAAAATCTCTGATAGTGTGAGTCTTTTTATGAAATCTTTCTTATAGAAAACACTTAACGATTATTAGAAAGCATTAAAAGTTGAATCCGAAACGTAATCTGAAATAAAAGTGGAAAAACATTGCGCGGACGTCAGAGAAAAAACTTCCGGTTTAATAAAAAATGGCGGATGTCGAAGGAGAAAATATGACGCAGAATTAGAGGATTTCCTTTGCCATTATCGATCGTTATAAGGTATGTGCATAAATTCTAGTTGCATACATGTACATGGAAAATAGATACATTTTTAAAGGCAACAACATATTCAAAGCTTTCATTTTACGATAGGCCCAGGATCATTGGATACGACTCGGCAATCGATATTCACACTTTAATAGACCGATATGTAGTGTCTGCCATGTATTGAAGGTAAATCAACCTGCATTATTAATGTTACTTCTATCAATACATGGATTGAATTTGTACAATGGAAAAGCAATGGCACAATCAAAAATGTGCATATCAATCGTGAATATCTCTCGGTTCAAAGCTTATTTCCAACAGAATCGTGTCAAAATATGTGTCTGAGTAACAGTTATACATTATAAGATCGCAAACTCTTACCAATTATCAGCCGAATAGGACGTAGGTCCTACCTCCGGTCCTAGCATACGTTGACGGACTTGGGTCCCTGCTACAGTGACATGAAACTCTATATTGATTATATAATGTCTGTACATAAATATACCAAGAAAAAAACATTTGACCAGCCATCCACGATAGCTCATTGAGTAGGGCGTTTGGTGAGCATTAGTAATAGATATTAAGGAGAGGTAGGAGAAAAACCCTTGTTCGGCTCCCCTTGACTCCGTGTTTCTTTTTTATAATTTCTCATTTAATTTTGTCTTGGAAAGGTCGGACTTATTTAAAGCTTTGACATTTATGCAACAACACGATTAACCATTGATAACGTACGATGACAAAATAAACCGTCGTACACTTAAGATGTACGGTGTCACTATTAACTGTAGTCTTGCCGAAGTCAGTGTTTTTTAATTACTTATCTGATCTTGAATTCAAAATAGAAATAAAATAAGTAAAATAGACCGACTTGGGCAAGGCTATATTAACTGATTTGAAGCAAAACTATGATACAGGTTTCATGTAGGTTTAAAAAAATGTCATGTGTATTCGCTTCGAAAGACCTTTAGCTTTTTGATTACGTTGATAGATTCTCAAGCACAGGTACCTGCGGTTGACGCCCATGTGGGGGCTAGTATAATACCATTGTCTGCAGCGCCTGGTGGAGGCAGAAGTCTACCATCCGGGGAGAGATTGCGCACACTCCCTGCGGTTCCCCCGTATGGGGGGGGGGCTAAGTACCATACGTGGCCACATGGGGCCTGGAGAAGTACCATGCCTTGTTAAAACGCAAAGCTCATCAGAACGCCAAGAAGACGAGGTACAGCCATCCTTTGACGTTCGTGAAGACCTGCCTTTTAGTACAAGGGATGCCCACCTGGGGGCTGGAGAAGTACCATGTAAATGAAGACATGTAAGATGAACCGGTTAAGAAGACTTTCGAGTTCCTACAAGAAGATCGCTAGCTGAGTAGGAATAATATGTGGAAATGTTCATGAACGTCAATGAACAATGAATGAACATATAGATGACTACAGATCTCTTCCAGAAGGATGTTTTGGAAGATAGAGTTCTCCTTTTATAGTAGAAGAGTCAACTTATGGGTAAAGAAGATAGAAACAGTGAGTTCAATATGATAATATGAACTGGCAAAAACTTTTGAAGCTACTAAATAGCAGTAATGAGAAAATTGAACATTTCGAGTTGATGACAATATTATGTGAATCTGTACTGAGAAATCAATTGTCAGCGACACAACAGGGACAACTGTAAATCTGGAAGATTTGACCATCGCATGGCTTTATGATGATGAATGTTAATAAGCCATATGACAATTTCTTATTGAGTTCGAAAAAGAAACAGTTCCAGAGAAACATGGTAGAGGCCACACGCTCTAGGAAACAACAAACAGTGCTATCATCAGTGAAATACCAAAGAGAAATACCAAGTGGCCCATTAAATATATAATCAAACTATTTACTGCTTATTACACAACCGCCACAGCAAATATTAGGGACACACCATTTTTATCAAGCAATGATGCACAGAGACATTTATACATGTATATACTTCGAGGGTAACTGAATCAACAAAGAGTGATAACATTACTATGCGGACAGTCTGAGAGGTCAGTTGATAAACTGTAAACACCGAGATGAAATTCCAGACAAAGATTTGACAGAGAGAGAATATGATTTTGGGGTGAGTCTGGAACGTTTAAACAG